ACATACATACATACATACATACACTTTATTTCAACACGGAAGAATCATCAGTACAAGAATAAAATACACAAATTTAAATATATACAATGTTAGTCAAAAGATAAAAATAATAATTACTGTTTTACATGATTGCCGTGCAAGAGTCCATATACTCAGTATACTATAGGAAGTTAGTCAATTCGACTTTGAATGAATTTAGAGAAGGGGCTGATCTGAGCTGTTCTGACAAGCTGTTCCACAGGGAAGCACCACTGTAGCTGAACGAACGTTTTAAATAGTCTGTTCGGGGTTTTGGAACAGACAATTTATTTAGTGAATTTCTCAGATCATGATTGCTCACTTTGGGTGTAAATAACTGCTGCAAGTATTGAGGAGCACAATTATTATTAACTTTGTACATTAGGATAGCTTTTTGCTTCATGGGATTTTTTGCCAAAACACTCCATCCCAACTCAGAAAGTAGGGATGCTGACGAAACCTCATACGAGGACCTGGTCATTACCCTAGCCGCACGATTTTGCAGCTTTTGTAGTTTCTCACCCAGTTTTAAACCAATACCATTCCACACTGGAGAGCAATAAGTAAAATAGGGCTTGACCAGGCCCCTTTATGCCTTCACAGCCGTTTCTCTATTGATGAAAGGTCTTACGCGCTTAAGAGCACTAATACCGGACGAAATTTTTTTGGTAATATTATTGATATGGTTTTTCCAAGTTAAGTGCTCGTCGATTGTTAGACCTAACGACTTTGTAGATTGAACTTTTTTTATCTTTTTGTTGTCTACAAAGACATTTAAATCGTTGGTTTCACTGAAGGTTGCAAGTCTCTGACGGGAGCCAATGACCATAAGTTTGGTTTTTGCAATATTAAGACTTAATTTATTGGATTGTAGCCAGGTATTTTGATTGATCAATTCCGCATTCATTGCGTCTTCCAACTCAGAAAGATCATGGCTATGAAAAGTTATGTTAGTATCATCGGCATACATTCTTGCTAAACCGTCATTCATACAATTTGGCAAATCATTAATATAGACCAGAAACAAGAGAGGTCCAATTATTGACCCTTGCGGAACACCATAAGTATAAGAACGGCTACTGGATAGTGTATCATTCACGAAGCACCTTTGCTTACGATCAGACAGATAAGATTTAAACCAGCCTAGAGCACTGCAATCAACTCCATAGCATTCAAGTTTATTTATGAGAATTTCGTGATCAATAGTATCAAAGGCCTTTTTTAGGTCAATGAAAATAACTCCATTTACCAGACCATTATCGATATTTAGGCACCAGTCATTTGTCGATTCGAGTAGAGCCGTTACAGTGCTGTAAGTAGGTCGAAATCCCGATTGTTGATGCGAGAATAGATCATTCACTGACAAGTACTCGTAAAATTGATCATATACGATTTTTTCGAAAACTTTTGCAACACATGAGATTATGGAGCTGGAACAATGGCAGTTGGAATTAATTAAGCTGGAACAATGGCAGTTGAAATGGCAAATGGAGTTTAATACGACGAAATGCAAAGTCATACGTATCTCAACTAAAAAGTCTGAACGAAACAAGACGCTCTACGGAGCTCAACTCGCTGGGGCTATACTAGACTTGGTTAAGGGTTGAAGTTATGATACATACAGTACACAGCTATTTCAATTAAGATTTAAGGTTTTCCCCGAGCTAAGCGGAAAAGTCGAATACTGGCGCGAAAGGTTTAACACAGTACTAAAATGCGGTAGGCCCTACAAGTAAAGTTATATTAAAATACTTGGGGGCTTTTGGGCTCAAAATACTATCAAAATGAAGAGAGAAGTGAGACGAATCCACTGGTATACGGCCGAAAAAAAGAAAACCAATGATACCAAAGTTACCAAGGATCAAACGTACTGCATTTTTTTATAATTAGTTTAATAAATTTGAGCGATTTGTCAACAATACAATTTCGCTTGGCTTTCAAAGACAAAGGCCATAATTCCATAAATCGCCAGAATACTGTTGTTTAGTAATACTGTACATTTCACATCCGTAATTAGTACAATTTCTAACGCTGAATCGAACGGTGGTATATTTATCCTTATTGCGCCGTTAGGCATTTAATACAAATACACCGGCATCTCGAAATCGCGGAACCGGCGGAACCAGCGGAACCAACGGAACCAACGGAACCAGCGGAACCAACGGAAACACGCGAGATCTATGAAATACACGCATGAAAAATCATTCGATTTTTTAAAATTTTTTATTATTATTATTATTATTGATCTTTAAACACGGTAACCTTTCACATAGGTGATTTTCAAAGGGCCGTGCAGAAAATAAATGCATTATAAAAGAAGGAACTAATAAACTAAATTATACTTATTTACAAAATATACTTATTTACTTATTTACTTATTTACTTATTTACAAGATGTAATTATTTAATAGATGATGGACAGATTTTAAACTTGTTGATTCTCTTAGGGTTTTCAACAAGTTTACTGGGATGTTGTTCCAATACGCTGCTCCTCTGTACGAAAAGCTATTTTTCAAGAAGTTCGTTTTTGGTTTAGGTTGAGACAGCTTTAAATTACTACTAGTTTTGTTAATTAATTCGTTGACTCATTGTCTCGAATTGATTATTATATTATAAAATTAAAACCAATGTGAACACCCAGACGAATGTTTCGCCTGTAATAGGCTATTTGAAAGTTTTTAGCCGCGCTTGAGCGAGACTTAAGGCTGTTTTCCATTAATGTTCGCTTTGCCCGCGCGGGCGAAGTGTTCATTGTTTTTTGCTCCCGTCACGCCCGCGTGAGCAGCTTTTCAAAGCCCGCTCCGCCCGCGCGGGCAAAGCGACTGTGGTGGCACTACATAACCCGCGAACAGGCATACTCTGGGAACGAGATTGTTTAAAGTGGACGCGAATTACCCGGCAAGGCGAGTTACTCGGCAACGGCGAGATCCCGGCTATTCGGCGAGATCCGGCAGGTTCGTAACTTTAAAAACTTTGTCGGAAATGATTTCATTCGGGATGTGTCTCAATTGCCTTGGGAGATGGTCTATCAGTTTGGAGATCCCAATTTATGTTGGCAAGTCTGGAAATCACTATTATTAGATGCACTTAATAGACATGCCCCTCTGCGCCACAAGCGAATAAGGAATAACCCTGTCCCATGGATTAATCCTCAAATTAAAGAACTTATTAGAAAAAGGGACTATCACAAAAAAAAGGCCATAAAATATGATTCGGAGTCACAGTGGGAATTGTATAAAACACTACGTAATGAAGTAAATATAAACATGCGGAAAGCAAAATCAATTGTGATAAAATCCAGGCAAGCTCTCAAATGGGAGACAGTAAAAGCGGATGGGCTTGGATAAATTCGCTCTTAGGAAGAAAGCATAAGAATGCAAATATTAATGAACTGAAAGTAAATGATGATATTATTTCTGATGATAAATCTATTACTGAAACATTAAATGAATATTTTATAAATATTGGAATGAAGATGGCTGCTGAATCGGCATGTCAAAGCACTGATGCTTTAAATGATCAAGTAATTTATGAAAGTACTGTGCTTCTTCCTAAAGAAAATTTTCACTTCGCAGATATTACTATAGATAATGTTTCCAAACGCCTACAAAAACTAAATGTCTCAAAAGCGACAGGTATGGATGGAATACCTGCGAATATTTTAAAACTGACATCAACCCTTATTGCTCCATCTATAACTTTTATATTTAACTTATCGATTAGAACTGGTATTTATATAGATGAGTGGAAATTAGCTAGAGTTATACCAATTTACAAATCTGAGGATAAGCGTAAATGCGAAAATTATAGACCAATTTCAATTCTTCCCATAATAAGTAAAATATTTGAAGGGGAATTTTTTACTCAAATATATAGCTTTTTGAATAAACATGCGCTTCTGTCTAAATTTCAATCCGGGTTTAGACCAAAACATGGAACCTTAGGTGCTCTTATACAAATGTGTGATCAATGGCTACAAGATATGGATGAAGGCAAAATAAATGGAGTTGTTTTTCTTGATATATGTAAAGCATTTGACTCGGTGAATCACGAGATATTACAGGGCCGTAGCAACCGGGGGGGCTGGGGGGGCTGCAGCCCCCCCCCCCAATAATTTGCTAATAATCATTCTTTTTTCAAAATCATGCAAACTTTATCATTTAATCTGTGACAAACTGCAAAGAATGAAGATATTACTCATACTCCAGATCGTTCCTCGCGTAGAAATTTTAGCTGAATTTCTGTCGCGCATTTTCAAGAAAATACCACAAAATCTGCACATTTTTGATGAACTAATGATTTATTTTGTCTTTTGCGTGTTGGGTCTTGCGAAAAAAAATTCTGAAAATGCCATTTCAGACCATCTAGAGACTCCAGATTTTCGAAATTTTCTCAAATGTTCTGCCTTCATTTCCGCGCAACTGCCATTTACGACGAAAATTCCCGCCGCGCATTTATAATACTACAGTCTGGCCCATACTTTCCTGTAAATTTCGACATACTAAAACGCTGTTTTCTGACTATCAGAATTCTGTTAAATCTTCCCCTAAAGTCCAGGAAATGGCATTTTAGAGACTCTAAATTTAAAAATTTCCTCGGGCCTTCGGCCCTCGCTTTCAGCCCCCCAATCGAAAAGAGCTTCCTACGGCCCTGTACTGCATCTGTTTTATTTTGTATTATTAATTTTGTATCACAATGAATGTTTGTGATGAATGTTTATGACAATGTGAACTCCAGCTGTATTCGACAGGCTGAATAGGCTAGCCACATGTACGCAGTGCGTACCTATTTTTTAATTATGTTTTAGAATTTACAAATGCTTTGTTATTTGTATTTATGACATTTATACTTGTACTGCATCTTTGAGGCAGTACGTAAGTGAAAAAATTCCACATGTGAGATTGTCTTGTAACAGTATACATTTTTGCTTTCTTTGAGAAACATTATTAAACACGCAAATTTTAATTATTGAGACCAGGGCGCTATAAAATACGGGCTTGGAAACGCGCTTATTATCGCGTGATCTATGTGTGATGCGCTAGAGAACTGGCACTAGCGCGCGTTCTGAGAGAAAAGCAAAAAGAAAAGCAAAATCATGGCGGAAAAAAGATTGTTGTGCGACTTTGAAAGCAAGGGGGCGAAAATAGACGTAAGACATTTTTTAATGTGAGATTTCTTTGATTGATTTTTAAAAGGAACATTATATTATGTCATTAATAAACTTTTTATGTAAGAAGCATCCGACGTATTTGAGAAAATAAGTTAGTTTTTCAATTATTTTAATGTGAGGGGCATCAAATTTTATTACTTTACGCACGACAACAGAGATTAAAATCAATGCTGTCTGAACACTAGGTAGGCCTAGATAAATTTGATAGCTTAAAAATGTGTGGAGTTTCTCTGGCTTTAGTACACAATATATACCAAGACCGGCTTCTACCGGCTTTTTTTGCTATGCTTAAATTTTGGCATTAACATAATTTTCTCGACAGCGCGCGAGAGTTAAAACATAAAAAGCCTACAAAACGCGGTCAAACTAAAAGTCAATGTCAACATTGCAACACAATTTTTCAGTAAATTAAGTTCTTAAAAAACTTTAGGTGAACGTAATTGTTTTCAGAATTTTTAACCCTGTCAGCATAATTTATTTATATTACTAACACCTTTCTATAAACCCAATAAGAAGTGTCTTTTCAAAGCGGGCAAAAACGTTTCTTTATATACATTGCATTAAAGTTCTCAGTTTACTTTTTTCATGCATGGACAAAAATGTCTTGTTGATATTTCAAAATAATGTTTAGTTCATATATGAACTATAGCTGTTTACCACAAAATTTACAGTTACAATGATATATAGTATTGTATAATTTATGATTTTTACCAACAGAAAATCGGCTTTTTTGTTAAAACATGGTTTTTCGGCTTGGTATTGACATGGTCGTACATGAAACGACTGTTACTGTTAGCCATTAATTTAGTATGCAGGAAGCGCGGAAAAAATGTTTCGACTTGTATCCCTTTTCCTAGGTGAAAAACTTTGCCTGAAATGTTGCACAGTTATTAACAAAGTTATGGAAAATCGATTTTTATATATTATAAAGAAGACCGGCTTTTTTGTTAAAATACAACTTTTCGGCTTGGTTTTGCCATGGTCTCACTCGAAAGGACAAGGTCAATGTCCGCGGAAAAATATTTTTATTTATATCTTTTTTCCTAGGTGAAAAACTTGGCATAAAAATTTGCACAGTTGTTGATAAAGTTATTAAAAATCGATTTTTATTAAAAATAAAACCGGCTTTTTTGTTAAAACATGATTTTTTACCTGGTTTTAACCTGCTCTTACATGAAACGACAAAGGCACTGTCAGCCATTTTTACTCATGAAACACGAAGCGCGGAAAAAAATGTTTCGACTTGTATCCCTTTTCCTAGGGGAAAACTTTGCCCGAAATTTTGCACAGTTATTAATAAAGTTATTGAAATTCGATTTTTATTATAAAGAAGACCGGCTTTTTTATTAAAACACAGCTTTTTGGCTTGATTGGCCATGGTCTCACTCAAAAGGACAAGGTCAATGTTGACATGTTTGCTCATGAAACTCAAACCGCGGAAAAAATATTTTTATTTGTATCTTTTTTCCTAGATGAAAAAGTTTGCCTAAAAATTTGCACAGTTGTTTTCAAAGCTATTTAAAATAGATTTTTATTAAAAATGATACGGGCTTTTTTGTTAAAACATGATTTTTTCCACCTAGTTTTGACCTGGTCTCACATAAAACGACGAAGGTACTGTCAGCCATTTTTACTTAAGAAACACGAAGCGCGGAAAAAATGTTTCGACTTGTATCTTTTTTCCTAGGTGAAAAACTTGGCCTAAAATTTTGCACAGTTATTAGTAAAGTTATTGAAATTCGATTTTTATTATAAAGAAGACCGGCTTTTTTGTTAAAACACAGCTTTTTGGCTTGATTGGCCATGGCCTCACTCAAAAGGACAAGGTCAATGTTGACATGTTTGGCCATGAAACTCAAACCGCGAAAAAAAATTTATTTATATCTTTTTTCCAGGTGAAAAACTTTGCCTAAAAATTTGCACAGTTGCTGTCAAAGATATTTAAAATTGATTTTTCTTAAAAAGAAGACCGGCTTTTTTGTTAAAACATGATTTTTTACCGGCACTGTCAGCGATTTTTACTCATAAAACACTCAACGATTTTTACTCATGGAACACGAAGCGCGGAAAAAAATATTTCGACTTGTATTTTTTTCAGTTTTCTATGACGCTAAAAGATAGTCCCAAGCTATAGACTCGTAGGAAAAACCGTATCTTTAGAAAAAATATCCGTTTCAACCACTTTATGTCTTTAAAAGTGCACTGACCTTTTCAGGCTGTTCCAGACAAACCACATTTTCTTTACAATATTCCCTCTTGACTGTAGCATAAACTTTAAGTACATAAACCTCTCATTCCATATAGTTAATCCCAGAGGTAAATCGTTTTGGTATTCATTTGCAAATGAGTTTCAAACATGACCATGTTTCTTATTTTATAAACTCTTGCCGTGTCTTTCTCTTCAAATGTTGATATTCGAATGAGAATTTCCAATATTCGAAAACCTACGGGGGGTCCGCGCATCACACATAGATCAGGGGCGTCATTGCCGTTTCCACGCCCGTGTTTTATAGCGCCCTGGTGAGACGCAATGTTAAATGTCACCTGCATGTCATTGTCATTGCCCTTTAACCCTTGGTCTAATTGGCCGCTTTTGAAAATGTTGATCATGACGAACCGCACTGCCTTAATTAATTTTGCAAACTTTGTGTTTTAAAAACGGGTTAGGATAAAACGCGCGGATACGGACGGACGGATGAATGAATGACGGACGGACGGACGGACGGATGGCGACGGACGGACTGGACGGATGACATATATATGTCATTATACAGGGTGTATCAAAATAAACGCAATTCATCTTTTGTGCTTAATAACTTTCGAAATACTATTTCTAGTTAAACGCTTTTAGGCTTACTTCAAAGCATGTTCTTTTCTCTTTCAAACAAACTATTATCCTTGTCTCCAATGCTAGTAATAATTGCACAGGAAAAGATTTAGTAAAACCTATCATTAATTTTTAGTTGCTGTTTAATTATGCAAGTTTAGTATGTTATTGTTTAGTCGGTTTAAATGTTAAAATTTTCTTCTTTAAATTAAACTTTAATGTTGTCGTCAGTACATCTGGAAAACCACGTAAGAACAAATTAAAAGTATTTTAAAAGAGACCAGGTTGTTTAAAATCCTAAACGAATGCTAAAACTCGTCAAAACATTCTGGTGTCTGAGCCAGAGTGTCATCGAATTGCGATGTAATGTAAACAGAAATTATAGCAAGTTGATGTCAGTCAGCTTAGATGGTCCAGGCCAAAATTATATCGCATTTGAAGTTTCAAACTGAGTTAAAAGTAGTGGAAGAAAAGCCTAAAGCCTTAATTATACTTATTGTTACAATCTATTTCATAAAATGCAATATTTTTTTGTTTTAATGAAAAATCAGTTATTTTCATGAGAACGATTTGTTATTCCATCTCAATATTTTTAATCTCCAATCACAATAGCGTAAAGTATTATTAACCGCGAACCAATGAGTCAAATTTAAGAAACAACCCACTGTTAGAAAGCTGAATGGCTACCCTTTAAAATGAATGTAAACTTTAACGTTTTCGTCTATTATTTGTTTAGCAATTTACATTTCAGTCGAGGATTGCGCTTTTTTTTATACACCCTGTATAGTCTGCGCGCAGCCGCGCTGGGTAGTTAGTGGCTTACGTCTTCGCTGGTTGTTATACTTTAAAATAATTTTGTACCGATAAATATAATATATATAATTAAATACCGATATATTTAATTTTATACCGATAAATCAATATTCCGAGTATATAAATATATAAACTGGGATGTCACACTGATAGCTTGTTTACATTTCCTGGAGCATCATGAAATCTTATGTTTAACCACGGTGGTTTAACCCATTAGCTGGCAATGCGCCCTTCCCTTGTCCAACGCCAGAAGATTTTACTCGTCAGTGGTATAGGGTACTGCCAGTAAATGGGTTAACAAACCTATCTGCCAATGGCTCTTGCTAATAAGGGGGTCCAATACTAAAATTTTGACTTTATGAGTGAAATTTATGAATTTTCAAAAAATTTTGAAAATTAGGTTCTTTGAAGCCTTATCAAACATTACTGACACTTTTATTGTAAAAAAACTTACTAAGTTAGGGAAGAATGACAAAATACCAAGGGCTTCGAATATTTCCACCATAGCAACGCACAAAGTTTGCTGTTTGAAATCGAGGTAAAAATTGTTTATAAAATAGTGATGTACAATTTTAGGCTACTAACAAGAAGTATTAGCTGCACTATAGCCTTTCCTTACCGCTTGACAACCTTCTCTTCTCATCGTGGGCTTCTTTATCATTCTCAAAAATATCACAAGCGATTTTCTCTGTCTTTCTTTGTGATTTATGACCAAATTTTTGCTTATTTCCGAATAATCTGCAATTGTTTCACTGTTATTATGGCAAGAGAGAATTCAAGGGCAAAATAAACGGCGATTAATGGAAATAGATTTGTTAAAAATGCAAAGTACAATACTGACATCGATACTGACAGCGCCACCAGCTTCGCTGCCAGGAAATTTTCTTACACCTTGCAGGAAACTTTTCTTTCATAGCTGGAATGCCATATAATTCACTTCTTTTAAAAAATCCAAAAGCATTTTGCAAGTCAAGAGAAATATATTTTTTAGGCCTGACACTGCTAGAAAGTCAACCTCGTTCCCAGGCTCTTTCCTCTTGTGAAGGAAAAACCCTGGTCGAAGCTGGTCACGTGACCCATAAAAATTGATAGCCTAAGAGGGGGATGGAAAAGTCTCATATTACATGTTTTCACTTCCGCACTTCACACTTCGATTGCAAGGAGTGGTCGTTCTGTACAATCATCTTTGAAAATCATATCAATACTTCAAAATACTTGCTAGCAGCAGATAATTCAGGAAATCAAGCAACGAAAACGTAAGACCGTATGCTTTGAAATATTTGCTTTTTTATTTTCTCGGGGTTCGGGCGCAGTTTCTTTTCACGCGCACGTTTCTGTTCTGGCTCTGATATATATTTACAATATTCTTATAATACAGTACGCCAATGAATTGTTGTCATATGGAAACGGTATAAATTTTGTGAAACAGAGGTCTCAAATGCGACTGTGCAGGTCGTAGCGCCTTGCTGGTCTTATAGTAACGGGACACATATTTCTACAAAATATTTAGGTGTCACCATTACTAGCACCTTGCGCTGGAATGAACACTGTGACAATATTTGTAAAAAAGCTAATTCCACCCTTGGCCTACTTAAACGCATTTTAGGAAGCTGCTCTCCTACAGTTAAAGCTATAGCCTATCTCAGTCTAGTCCGCCCTAAGCTCGAATATGCTAGTTGCGTCTGGAACTCTCATACTAAACGGAATTCTGAGAAGATTGAAATGATTCAACATCGCGCCTCAAGATTTGTTAATAACGACTTTTCCAGATACAGCCATGTTTCCCCAATGATAAACAATTTAGGATGGGACACACTTGAACGGCGTAGACTGCTTAACCAGTCGTGTATGTTCTATAAGATCAGTGCTGTAAGTAACGTCGTTAAAAGTAACTAGTTACAAGTAATCGTTACATTTTTCAGTAACGGTAACGGTAACTTGTTACATTTTGAGAACATATAACTGTAACGGTAACTAGTTACAAAAAATGCCATAAAATTGAAACGATTACAAGTTATTTTGCCAAAGTTACAAGTTACATTTTGTTCGTTGCTATTTGTGTACGTTTTTAAAATGAAATAAATCAATACACAGTGAGACAGGCTCTTAATCATCTGCACAGGAATAATTTAATCTGACACAACAGAATCCGTTCATGGACACAAATTTAAATAAAGGGTTGACGGCAAATTTATGTACAGTTGGAAATGATCGGAATGCCGTCGCTCGCCTTCACTTGTGCCTTGGCCTCGTCATAATTGGTCTTTGGCCTTGGCCCAGTCATGATCACGTATTTGATCATGACTGGGCCAAGGCCAAAGACCAATTATGACGTATTTGGTCATGATCACAGGCTCATTTCACTTGGTCTTGGCCCAGTCATGATCACGTATTCACGTTTCTGCTTTTTCATTGCGAAGTATAATAGCAGAGTTTTTTTAATTGACAATTCTATCAAAAAATCGATTTGGTGGAATTTTACAGATGCATGCAGATACACCTAGTAAATACTAAGTTATTAATTTTGCCCATAATTTTGCCGCAAGTTTCATTACCATTTGGCCCATTCGAATTGTATGCGTTCTTAATTGCAACCAATAAATGTAACTTGTAACTTTGTAACTAAGTTACAAAAAATATATTGTAACTTTGTAACTGTAACTAGTTACACTTTGGCATCTGTAACTTGAATCGGTAACTAGTTATATTTTTGGTAATGTAACTATAACTGTAACTAGTTACAGCACTGTATAAGATTCACCAAGACTGCGTTGATTTAAACGTTCCCCCTGAAGTGTGCCCTATAAAAAGAAAAACACGACTTCCAAATCATCATCCCTTTCAGCATGTTTTGTGTAACAATGATATTTTTAAATTTTCATTTTTCCCAAGAATCATTGTAACCTGGAACAATCTCCCTTTTATCGTACTACCAGCGATTATCAACGCTTTTAAAAGTGCTGCATTAACTGCATTAAGGGCATCAGTATAATTTTGGCAGGTCACTTTTATTGTACAGATTTACCTTTTAAAGTTTTTCATATATATAGTTCATAGCTATTTTGTTAATTTATATACATATATAAGTATCTCCTATAGTATAGAGTAAGCTAATTTAGGAGTATCAGATTAAAGATTAAAGATTAAAGATACATTTGGACACTGGCATTGAATACACATATTGCTCTAGATTTTTTTGAAAAAGATTATCATAGTTTATATTAAACACCAGGTAGGAAGAGAAAATATAATAATGTACAAAATTGTTTGGGATCGACAGTGCACAGCATACGACAATTCACAACTGTATGCATTTCCTTTTTTGTCTGCACAAGTACCTGGTTTTTGAAGCAAAAATATTGCACAGCATCTCCTATAAGATCTATCGCCATTAACCCGGGTGATAGCCAAAAAGATTTAGCAAAGTATTTTTTATTTAATCTGGTATAAAGTGTCCCTACCTTTTATCAGGAATATATACATAATTCATAAACTAAATGTAATATCGCCATCATTTGTTTCAAAATTATTTTAGAAAAAGTTTTTGATTAAATACTTAACACGTTCCGCAATTTCAATATTTTGGGGGCCCGCTCTAGGGGAGTTGGGCACCCTTTCTTGACTTTTCTTTAGAGGGGGTGGGGTGTTACACCACCCCCTAGTAGTTCCGGCTCTGCCTAATTCTTATTGCCAATTGTTTAAACGTGTATGAATATGTAGTTATTCTTTGAACTTATTGAAACAACAACGTTTTAAAAATTAATTGATTTTGCCAGGTGTCGACTGTTGTGGGTAAACCTCGATATCTTTTACTAGTGCACCAGTTAGATTATTCACCGCCAAAACATTTTTTCACTTGTTATAGCCAGTCCTCGACTCAACAGAACATGGTACACATGTCATGCAATTTCTGGAGTTTTTGTTTCCCTTTTTGTTTTTCAACGGTCCGTAAATGCTGCATTGTTGGTTTCCAACCGCTCAAGAACCAATCAAAATGCTGCATTTTGTTGTTGGACTGCATAGCCGTAAAGTGAGTTATCGACACCAGTGAATTCGAAATTGACTTTCAACTTACAGGGCAAGATCTGTGTTTCTTTCGTCTGCCTTTAGCTAACCTTTCATATCATGCTACATTTGAAGGAAAAGTGGCGGAACATCGTGCATGCTCTATTGATATAATAATTAAAATGGGTGATTCTAGTTATAGACTAAATTTTGATCAAGGCAACCAACATCGCACAAAGAGCGTCTTAGAATTAGTCAAACTGCAAAGATTGGTTGCTAAATCTTGTAAAATCATGAAGAAAATATACTACTGTGAATTTTGTATGTATTTGTAGTACGCGCAGTGAAAATAACCATGCACTTTCGGCTCAAAAATCAGTTCATAAAATGATCATATATTATGATAAATGTTATTGAATCTTCGTTCTTCTATTTAATTTTCTGATTAGCAGAACAGTATAGTACATCAAAAATTAAGCTATGGTTATTGCATTCCATCTTTTATATTGTCCTCTAAAGTCTAAATTTTATACTAGCTCATTAAATTTGAAGATAAATAACAAATTGAATTGAGCTTACATCACATTAAAACCGTTCTTTGCACTTTAATAAGAAATATGTAATATGCAGGCCACAAGCATGCAGTTTCTAACACGTTATAGCCTACCATCAATTGAATGTTGTTGCAAACGAAGATGTCTATATTCGATATTCAATTACTACAGATTTCTTTCAAAACTTTGAAAGCTTCTTTTCTCAACACTGTTCTTGTCCAGAAAAAGATAACGGAATTAAGTATTGTGTTAACTCCAAGGGCTGTGGCATACCAACCAATTATGACCCTATAGATTATTATGTCCTTTTCGAGATAATAAATGATGAGAAACTCGCCGGGAATACAAAAAAAATAGAATGTAACTACAACCAATGCACAAAACTTGGCAAGCTTTAATTCCATCGCAGAATATCGTTTCCCAACACGTGATTTTGAGACGTTTTCTACGCCACTTGTGCTGCAGTTGTGTCGTAGTAGTTTTTTCTTCGCTGAAAACAAAATCCGTGAGTAGCAAAATGTATGTACCAGCATAGGAATAATTGCGTAGATGGCGCAAAAAATGTAGTAGAATGTTGCAGAAACCACAGCCAATGGGACAATTATGAATGTTACCAATAGGACACAACAAATGTATAACAAAAACATCTTTTTTGTAACATAGTTGCGATGTGCAATTGGATGCAAAACACCCATATATCTTTCAAAAGTCAACGCGCATAAAGCTGCTAAGGATAATCCTCACGGTATAAATGCTATTGTAGAAAAGACAAAACTTAACACACAGTCTGGCGAGCCAAAAACTTCTCGGAGGTGAAGGTAGCTAAACAATGGGAGAGTTAGCAATCCAACAGAAAAGTCAGCCATTGACTGGATTAATACGGGAAAGTGGCAAATCTTCGCTTTCATGTGTTGACTTTTCCAGATTGTAAGAACTGTAATACCGTTCAAAAGTATTACAGGAATCATTAGTATGCACATTGCCACAGATGTAAAAACTTGGTTGACGACATATTTACTTGAAGGAAATTCCACAATAACGATATGTGGGTAACCGGCAATTGAACACTCTTTAATGTAGTTGGATGTCGTATTATTTATTTCCTTTTCTTCCTCCTTGAATATTGAATTTGCTCTTTCTTCATTTTCGGGGTGATGCAAATCTAGAAAAAGTTAAATTAAGCCCAACATTACTATAATGGCGAACTACAAGTATGCCTTCTATTCATATATACAGTCATGTGTATATCAGTTCATACACCCAGCCCCAATGGAGTTGGGGTGGGGGGGGTGTCAAATCATCCGACTGTCGTGGAGCATGGTTCTATGAACTGTTATATTGATTAGCGATGCAATCATTGGGGAAAAATAAATTTTAGCTGAGAAAAATTGTATGAAAACTGCTTATGCTTTGTATATATTTTGGACATCAATTTCACTTTACTCATTGGCCGAATGACTGAAGTTCCATCCTAATATAACAGGAAGTTCCTTCATAATCTTTTCCGGTCCTCAATCAGATCGGATCGTGTAGCTCAATTGGTAGAGCGTCGAGTACCATTTCGAAGATCGCGGGTTCGACACATATCCGAGGCATTCAGGCAGAATTTCTGCTTTCGCAGTTTGTATGGAGTCATTAAATTCGAGAACGTTAATCATTCATATATCTGAAGCCTTGGGGTTCGGCGAAATATTACCAGAAATGATGATATTTATCATCAGTTAGGGCAGGGGTGGGGGAGGATAAAAGGCGGCGCGGACTGATGAACTCACGGGGATTGGCGGAAAAAATATTTCAAAAATTATTGAAAATAATTTTAAAAATAAATAAGAATACATATATTAATGTTATCAATATTATTAATAATAATAATTATTATTAGTATTAATATTATTTATGATTAGCATGACAAAATTATTGGATGCTGATTGGTTGAGAGGAGTACAATTATTTCAATAATTGTACTGCAGTACAATTAATAATTTTCTCAAAAAAAACAAAATGGCAGATATATTTTGAAGATATTTTGAACACAAATGTGAAATGAAATTGCCCTTGAGGAACTAGATAAAAATACGAACAAAAGCACCAAATTTTGCTTTAACAAAAGAACTAAATGAAAATACGAACCAACCTCGTTCCCAGGGATTTCGGGTGAGGACGAAGGGAGAGACGGGAAAGCCCTTGTCTGGGCTGGTCAATTTTGCATTTTGATTGGCTAACAATAACTAAACTTGACAGTTGACAATAACAATTCAACATTTGTATTTTTATGATTCTTGTCTGTACGTGTATGTTTTGCAAAATAATCTTTCAAAGTAAGACGTTTTCCCGACTGCATGATTTACTTTCGCCTCGGCCGGTTACAAAACTCACAAGCCGTGTCGAAGTGAGCTGTGATGTTTCCTGACAAAAAAAAACAAGAAACGTCTACTATTATTTAAGCTGTAGTTTCCCTTCTACACTACTACAGTGTTATATATATAATTTAGTCCAGATGTCTGATGAAATACTACACATATTGCATTGTACTATTGTAGATGATATTTTAATTTACAATATTCCATACTGACAAATAAAAGCAAGACAAACAATTAAATGAAACTACTAAATTAATTTAGGCCCTGTTTACTTAAAGCTCTACGCCTAGGCCACAGAAACAGATATAGCCTAGGCCGATGTAGTCTCCACAAGATTCGTCACGCAACCGAGTTTTACAGTTTCAGAATACTTGAAAATTGCGATTATACGATAAAATAAAACAAAGATTGTAAAGGGGATAAAATTTGTATTTTGTAGGCAAGCATGCTCTGTGAACGGCAAGTATTGGTGTCCGGCGAAACAAGTGAATCCGTATATTGCAATCCGTTTACAAGTGAAACAAGTGAATCCGTATATTGAAATCCGTTTACAGCGTAAACAGGTTAACGCGAGGTTTTATATTTGTGTTTATTTATATTGAACTAAGTCAGATCCTATAAGAGCATATTTATTTATTTTATTTATTTAGCTTTGCCAACTAGGGCAGGGTCACCACAACAGCATGTGCCAATTACTGTGGGCCCTTTTTACCTAACTCACCCTGTCAACTTTCCCTGTGGGAGGAAACCGGAGTACCCGGGGAAAACCCACGGCTTTCGGCAGAGCGTTGACTTTTACTCTTTTCACATGGGGGCTGGGTTCGAGTCGCACTTAGAAGGTACTTAGTGAGACTCGAACCTGCAGCCTCAGAGGTGAAAGGCAAGTGCGCTAACCACTTGGCCACCGAAGCCCCTAATTTAAACTAAATATTAAAGGCAATAGCCATATTGTTCAAGACGAGAGAAAGCAAATTTCGTGTGAATCACCACTTACATGAAGACGCCTAGATGCAGCTTGGATGCAGCTTTGCCTGTGGTTGAAAATCTCCAGAAATATCGGTATATCTAAGAAAACTTCGACGGGGTCTTCAGAGATTTCAGCTGATTCGTGCCAAACTTCGCTACACATAAATAATATCGATTGAGAAGTCTTTTGGCTCTTTATTTGTTTCGAAGACTTGTATATTTCATTAAAGAATATCTCGTCACTCCTTGACGAGTAGCTGTCAAGCACTGCCATTTTACGTGTAGACACGTGACCGGCCCAGACCAGGGCTTTCTCGTCCCCCCCCCCCCCGTCCTCATACAAAAGCCCTGGGAACGAGGTTGAATACGAACAAAAGTATCAAATTTTGGTTGAAAGTCTGGCAGGACTGGGCTTTGGCGAGAGAATATATGATGTTGACGGAGACGTATACAATTTTCTCATATGCTAATAATAAACAAGTAATCATGCGATGTTGCTCGTACACTGTAAAAACTGATTGGTTAAAATGACCAATTTGTTAGGTTGCAATCATTGGGAATTGGTCATTTTGACCAATTGTTTAATTAGTTAGCCGCATTTGACCAATTAAATTTGGTTCCTTTGACTATTACAAATTGGTCGAAAAAATTGGTTATCTTTCGACCAATTTATATAAGTTATTATAACCAACTTTTTATTGGTAATTTATTTGAGTGTTCACTGCTAATTTCAAGGAGTTATTTCAACTCCACTGAGAATTAAAAATTGGGAGTGAAAATTTTGAATTCGTATAATAAATATGAGAGCCCAACATATAACTTTTAACAAAGCCATTAAAACAGTTTTAAAAGATTGTAAAGAATTTTAATTGTAACGTTTCGTCTTTAACTTAAGACATCTTCAGACTAGATAAAATTACACAAGATGTGAATATATATAAGCTAATTATAATCTATTTACAAGGTGTTATGTTACTAAGGATAATAAAGGATAAGAGGGTGTATGTAAGACAGGACGATACAAATGAGGAAACAAAACAGACACAAGAAAACGGCAAATTACAGAAGATTAGCGGAATAGAGCTACCCTGGACGTTAAGAGTAGGTTTGAGTCTAGATATAAAAAGGCTTTCGTGAATCAATTTTTATATCTAAACTCAAACCTACTCTTAACGTCCAGGGTAGCTCTATTCCGGTTAACCTTCTGTAATTTGCCGTTTTCTTGTGTCTGTTTTGTTTCCTCATTTGTATCGTTCTGTCTTACATACACCCTCTTATCCTTTATTATCATTAGTAACATAACACCTTGTAAATAGATTATAATTAGCTTATATATATTCACATCTCGTGTAATTACACTGGCCTGTAGGCCAAGTGTCTTAAATCCCTCTTTTTCTGTTTTTTTCGTAGTCGAGAAATCGAGTTTGCGTTAGCGCATTGCAGGCTCAAGGTGCAACGATTAAAGCCAAAATGCCATCGATTCCCTCCGTTCCATGATTCAAATACAATAGCAACAAATTACGTATTTATGTACGTACTAGCCGACTCATGCCATGCTTGTGGTACATTGTTCGTTTATTAGCCTATACACTTGTACGCACGCGCACAATTCCGAACTGCAATGGCGGCTTTTCACAGAGTGATCAAACTATATTTTACACAGTCACAGTTTCGTTGAATTTTCAAAGAATTGTGCCGGTTTCCTATGTATTTTACGTTGTGTCGTACTCTGGACTTTCTTGCTTGTTGAATTAATGTGTTTTTCTTTGTGTAATGACTCGAAAAGCACAAAATATAATATTTAGTACTCCACGAAATATAATCCGCACGAAAAGATTTGTGGTAGCTACAGTATACTGAAAGATAAAGCGTGCGTTCAAAATACCAACAAGAACTAGAACCATTATTGTATCATTTGTATGGTTCTCATTTGCTAGACTTGCCACAAGTCGACCTCGAAGAAACGCATTTCGTTCGAGGTCGACTTGTGGCAAGTCCACTCATTTACAATAACATTAGTTCGACGCGAATTTTAATACAAGTATGGTATCATATTTCATAATACAACAAACAATGTAAACTAGCCATACATTTTGCCGAACATAACTTCGGTCCCTTTGGACATATCCTTTTCGTGATAATGTTATTGGAACCAGAATCGAAAACATTATTTATAGTGTTATTTTCAAGCTTGTGTCTTGAGATTCTCATCTTTTATTTCGGTATTTACAGAATATTTATATTTTTAGCGCGGCCCATGGAACGCACATGAAAACAACGCGCTGTTAGGAAAAACCGGAAATCGATTCTGTAGGTCGGCATGATTTGCACGTGCATCGATCTCCATTACGTCTCCCGAAAAGGTCTTTTATTTTTTTAAAAAGTGCATAAAATTTGCTTGCGGTTTAAGATTTGTATTCCTGCCTTTTGTACCATAGCACGTATCTCGTTATTTTCAGGCCAGTGTAAACGCCTGAGCAGGCGTCTTGTTTTATCTAGTCTGAAGATGTCTTAAGTTAAAGACGAAACGTTACAATTAAAATTCTTTACAATCTTTTAAAACTGTTTTAATGGCTTTGTTAAAAGTTATATGTTGGGCTCTCATATTTATTATACGAATTCGTTTTCCGCCTGGTAATCTCTGGCAACGATATTGAAAATTTTGAAGTTAAATTTGCTCGGCCTATACGTCTTCGATATATGCATTCGAACATATACTCCACTGAGGGTCAATTTAACTCCACTTAAAGGAGTAAAATTATATAACGGAGTAAATTTTACTCACAAACAGAATAACGGAGTAAATTTTACTCATAATCAAAATAACCGAGTAAATTTTACTTCATATTTTTTACTTCACAATTAATCGTATAGTAGGAGTAAAAATATCGAGTAATATTCCGCCTAGTTTTTACTCGGCCTGTGTAATATAACTCGACCATTACACATAGGAATCCATAGGAATGGCCGAAACTATATTGAAGTTTCTTCAACCTGTTCTTGAATTAGGGCCAGGGGCGTAGGAAGCTTAGAAAAGTTGGGGGGGGGGGCAGGCTTTGAGGGGCACTTTAAAAAAAAGGCATCTCAAAATTCCATGGCCCGCCTGGCCCCCCCCCCGGTTCCTACGCCCCTTATAGGGCGATATTTGCTATACAAATTGGTATGGTGAAAGCCTGCAGTTCGTGTAAAATCATCCAACAAAGACACAAGATCTAGCTGGTTGACGCGCTTTTTCGTAAATGCTGCCAAGTCAGATTGCTTTTAATATTACCAGTATCGGCTTCTTATTGTTCGATCGCGCGTGACGATCGAGTTTTTCACGTCAAATTAATTTACTGTCATTGCTCTCAGTATATCAGTTGTTTATTTTTGATTTGCTGCGTAAATCTGTAATTTGAACTTGTGGAATGTCCTGCTGCTGAATTCTGCTGAATATAATTTGCGCCAAGTGGAAGTTCCAACGTTTCAACCAATTACCATGCTTAGAATATATCACGTGTTGTAGTAATTCAATCTTTTCACACCAGGGGCCGGTTGTACGAAGGCCGGATAGCGCTATCCACCGGATAGTGATTTTTTCAAACTTTGTAAAAATGCTTGAAAAACTGCGAAACTACGGATATAGACGAAGAAAAAAGTATAAAAAAAATTAACTTACAAATACTAAAATTTAATATGAGTTATAACAATCAACAACTAATTTAACAAAGTTTGAAAAAATCACTATCCGGTGGATAGCGCTATCCGGATTTGAACCGGAAGCCTTAAAATTTTGCGCGTTTTCGCGTGCTTCCTGCATGCACAGAAAATACTTCGCATTGGCGGCAAATACAGTTTTCTCAGATTTCGAGGGAAACGGCCTCAATTTTGGGAAAAACTGGCTCAAAGAAACGGGCATGGAAAATCTATGTGCTTCATTTGAAGATATGTACTACATAATTGTGTAAAACTGTTAAATTTCCACAAAGTATCCAAACTTTTTATGTGAATATCGCTATCTTGTCGAAAAACATTTCCGTATATTTTGCACTTTTCGTGTTTACTGTTTCATAATTTTCATATGAAGGTGGGGCATTTGAACGCTTAATTTCGTATTACAGTGGGGCATTTGAAGACATTTTTTGCACAGCGGGTGGACAATTTGATCAGTCACATTTCAAAAATTTCAAATTCCCGGGGTCGCCCTGGGGGGGAGGGGGTGATGGTGAAGTTTCGAATTGATCGATACATTACATGAGCCTCTTTAGATGAACATGCTTGCCAAAACAAATCACCCAGACTGAGTTGTATAATTTCCAATAAAATAAATTGACATAATTTTGCAGACAGTTTTGAAATGTAACTTACAAAAAAAATCACAGAGATCTTTTAATCCATTGAGCCGCAAAGCGCCCCAGTATGCCCTACTTATTTTTTTTGCTTGCTTAACGCCATACGCTTTTACTCCTCAGTGGGGAAGCTCTGCAGCTTAATGGGTTAACCAAAAACTCTGAAAATGCCTCTAGTTAACCCATTGAGCCGCAATGTGCCCTAGTGCGACCGACTTATTTTATTTACTTGTCTACCGCCAGCAGTGGTGTAACTTCACTTTTTTGACCACTTGCCCTCAGGGCAAGTTGGTCATAAAGATTAGTTGCTCTGAATAAAATTCACTTGCCATCAGACAATGGCTGCTTGGGGTACCTAGGTAGGTGTATAAATTCCTTAATGTCAACCTGTTCTCCCACTGCGCTATATGGCTATGTTATACTGCCTCAGATATAGCTTTGGTGCACAAAAAACGAAATTTGAACCAAGTCCATTGCACTATAAAACAAAATATATCTGACAATGAATAGTGGCAAGGCAACTTGCCCAATCGGGCAGCAAGATAAAGTGTTTACTTGCCCATCATGATATTCACTTGCCCCAGGCAAGTGTTAAGTTACACCTCTGGCC